GAGGGCGGCGGCGCGGGGGCCGGCGACAGCGAGACTGTCCAGCACTTCCCGCTCGCGCGGCCCAAGTCCCTGATGCAGAAGCTCCAGTGCTCCTTCCAGGCGGCCTGGCTCAAAGATTTCCCCTGGCTGCGGTACTCCAAGGACACCGGCCTCATGTCCTGCGGATGGTGCCAGAAGACCCCCGAGGACGGCGGCGGCGGCGACCTTCCGCCGGTGGGGCACGACGAGCTGTCGCGAGGGACCCGCAACTACAAGAAAACCCTCCTCCTGAGGCACCACGTCTCTACCGAGCACAAACTCCACGAAGCCAACGCCCAGGTACAGTGTATCCTGTCCAGCCTTTTCAGATCCTGTGGAAGCGGTTATCGCAAAACGCCGCTTTCCTTGGGGGAAGCATCGTTTCGGTCGGGAGAGGTGCGGGAAACATGCGTGGGAGGTTAGAAAGCCTGGGAACAAGTTTTCAGAAGTTGCCTGTGTGTTGGGGGGAGGGCGAGGAAATGACAATTTACTAATCGCGGCGCTGGATTTGTTTAATTTTTCATGGCTCAGATTTCTTTGCCCATCAGATTGAATCTGAAAGAAAACTTAGTAAAGCAGGGTTGATGGTTTTAACCCTGAAAGGTTGACTTTGCGGTCAAAAAGTTTTATTGCCTGTGATTTTTGAAAAGCTCCTTAGGCTCATAGTATCTTATAGCATGCCTGGTGGAAGGCAAATCTGGCAGCCCTTTGAAGAATGAATTAAACAATTTCCTTAACCTTTGACGCTATTTCTTTTAGGAAAACGTCCAGCTGAGAAAATTCTTTATATCAGGTCAGAATAATTTGAAATGTGAGAGAAGTATGTAAATGTAGTAGAAGCTGTTTGCTTAACACTACGTTCTCTTGTGAATAATTTCACTAAATTCATCTCCGTTGAACTAGAACTTTGCTTCGGGTAAATTATTGTAGTTTTTACAAAACTGTTTCTTTTTACCCAGATTTCTGTGTTGAGATTTTATGTAATCCACCTTTTTCAAAAGTTGATTTGGACAGGTAGAGTACATATTTACCAAACTCCATGAAATCAAGTCCTTAGTTACAAAGCAAGCTGCACGCTCTTTGTTTTTGTTTTAATATTTCCAATCTAGAGAGTCATCTTTATCATTCAGATAGTCCTTTCAAGCCCTTCGACGTTAATTAGTTCTCTAAGACTTTTTAGATAACCTGTGGTGGTGGGTGGAATTCATTCTTTTGTACTGGTAGCCAGTTACTGGTTTAGAAAGTCCACTTGCACATATTAGCCCCTCTGTTTATTGGAGTGGTCTTGCTGCTCAGAACTCTTACACTGGAGTTAATTAGGCAGTATCTAATAACCCCATAGCCCAGAATCTTCTCAGAAGTTCAGGCTTGAACTTGAAAGCATAGGTTTATTTTTCCCAGTGGACGTTGGCAATAGTTTTTGCACAAATTTTAGCTGCCTAAGCCCAAAAGGAGAGTTATTTAAAAATATAAGGCCCAGAAAGGTTAAGTAAATTGTCCTGAGTCTTAGAGCCCTTGGTGACAACTGAGACTAGAGACGGTAAGGAATGTTGTAATGGGAAAAGAATGGATTTTAGAGTAAACCTGGGTTGAGATCTCAGCTTTCAGCAATTACTAGCTTTGTGAACTTGGGCAATGGAGTGAAATACAACTAACATTTCCTTGTCTTCAGTATGCCAAATACCCATTTACCTTAACTCTGCAAAAGAATCATTTTGCTCTCATTTTACAGGAGTCTGAGGCTTTAAAGGTTTAAGTAATGTAATTCTGAAGTTAACTAGTAAAATGATGGGGGTGGGTGACTTGTGAAAATGAAAGTAGACTTTTCTAAATAATGGTAGGTTGGTTATTCAGCAAAATTAAAGACCACTAGAATGAATTTTCCTAATAAACAGTCGACCAGTTACTCCTCTTATCAGCATAGTCTCTCCCTGTAGGCAAAGCTGAATGGGAGGGCAGATTATAATTAGCTGCTTAGTAAACCTGAAATCAGAGGGAGGGGAATTAGTTGGATCACCTTACGACAGACTTGGTATGGTGCATGTGTCCTTCCCCCCCAGACATGTATCTGGATCAGGGAATTCATTCCTAGGTAAAACCATTATTAAACTTGATCTCTGAATTATCCCTGCTGTCCCAACCCCTTCCCCCCTTGAAGCTCCCTTTTTATAGATCTAATCTGTAGCCCATCTTCTTTCTCTTGGGACACTATTATATCAGACTGAGGGGGTACAAGTTTAGTTTGTCTGAGGTCGTATATTGTTGGTTCCCTTGATTGGATTTTGAATGTTCCCACTCTGAATTGATCCTAACCATTTCTCTCTTTTAATTCTATCTAACCTTAGTTTGGGGTGTTACTTTGCTATTGTGTGTGCTTGCAGGTACTGCCTACATTTCTCCTGTTAATATGAGTGATAGGTTCAAGAACTGACATTCCTGTGGGCAGAGTTATTTCCCCCCCCCCCCC